CACTGATCAGCTTGAGGGTGTCTGGAGAAGGCAGCCAGGTCGGTGAAAGGTCTTGTGTACCTGACCCAGGAGGAATGGGTGTGTGTGTGTGTGTGTGTGTGTGTGTGCGCACGTGTGTGTGTGTGTGCATGCGTGTGTGTGTGTGAACATGATAGCGATTGTCAAGTAAGTGAAGGGCTGTCTTCTGAGAAGGAATTAAAGATGTGCCTGGTGGGTGGAACTGGGAACAACTGGGGGATGGGGCAGATCACAGGGAGACAGATGCAGGCTGGATTCAAGAAAGAAGGTTCAAGCAATCAGAGCTGCCCTGCTGTCTCCAGAGGCAGTGCCCCCTTCCCCGGGGGTCTTTGGGCGAAGGCTGGACGGCCACTTGTCTGGGAGTTTACTAAAGAGGAAAATCTTCATATCCTGCCCCTGACAGTCACTCAGTAGCCCGCTGATTCTTTTTTAGCCTCAGGCAAGTAGTAATGTGCACTGGTGGAGGGGCTTCCCATACCCATGAAACTGAAGGTCCTTGATGTCTACCTGTCTACACATAGTGCCTGCCCACCAGCACCGATGCTGGGGGGCAGGAGAGGGGAGGAACAAGGGACTATGATTCCCTAATCAAGGAAAGCAAACAGACCCCTGAAGGCAATGCAGGTCTTTAAACAGTAGGCACAGGATAAACTGAATTGATCTTCTTGACAGAAATGCCACCTCAATGATGTGTTCCCACAAGGGGAAAAGAATTAGCTGCATTCCATGGTGCAGGGAGAACAACTCTGGAGTTGGCAGTCCAAGGACCTGTGTTCAAATTCCATCTCCATTACTCACTGAGTGACATTAGAAAAGTCCCTTCTTGTGTCTGGGCCTCACTTTCCTCTTCTATAAAACGTGGGGGTTAGACTCCCTGGCCTTGGAGGCCCTTTCCCACTCTAGAGCCTGAAAGCACTTATTTAAGGAGGAGCTATTCTGATAAGTCCACCTGCTTCCCATTTCCACCAAGCAAAAAGCCTCTCCTGCCCCCTTCTGAGGGTGCCTTCCCTCTGTGATTCTCTCCATCGCAGTCTGTCTGCAGCATGTTTGTACCTACCTGTTTGCCTATGGTTTCCCCTATTAGACTGTGAGCTCCTTGAGAGCAGGGGCTGTTTTTTGCCTGTTTTGTATCCTGATACACAGTAGGTGCTTAATAAATGCTAACTGACTGACTCCGCCAGTCAATAGCCCCCAACTTCAAGGGAACCTTGCATTTTTTCTGGTTCTGTGTACTTTCAAGTTCTTTCAGTGTAAAAAACAAAGGAGCAAAAACCAATGAAACTAGAGTGGGCCATCAACTCCTGGGAACCCCCAGGAAATTGGCCACGTTTCCCAAAAGAGGTTCCTCGATGATGACTCCAGGCCACTATGGGGCCCTGAAATGGCTGCCAGTTCTGTTGTGAGCATCGATTGTGATGGACAGATAGCAGCCCCAGCTCCACCCTTCCTGTAATGTTCACCCTTTGGCTTAGTCTCAGAACTTGCCTGATGAGAGGGAATGGGGGTGGCCCTTGGCCACTGGGGCCAGAGGCAGGTTACTCCTTCCTGATTGGTGACTTCCAGAATCAACCCTCCCAAGGCCAAGCTCTGTGTTTTGGGGCCACGGACCCTCCCTAACGCTTCCCAGCAAAGTTCCAGGAAGCCATTCCTCTTTCAGTCAATTAACAAGCGCTGTGTGCCAGGTACTGAGGCAGGCTGTGCTAGGGAGGACCCTCAAAAGTTTATTCTTTGCAGACAGCTCACAGCTTTTCCAAGCTCATCAGTGCCCAGAGGAAATCTAGGGGATCAGAAAGCTTTAAGAGTGCAGCAATTCTCCCTGGTACCTTCCCTCCTCCACACTGGCCCTGGGGGCAGACGCAGGAGGCTTCCTGGTCCCCAGACATCCTGGGGAGGGGCTTCTCCAAGCCTGGCAAACACACAGACCACCTGGAAGCTTCTGCAGCCTGTTCAGACCTGCCAAAGGCCACACGTTCTGGTTGATGGCGGCCCTCCCCTTTCTGAGGCTCTAGAAAGTGGAACTTCCCAGAAGGGCATTTGATCAAGTGAAGCCCTTGATGTCCCATCACTCTCAGTTCCGGGTTATCAGAAGGGGGCTCCCTGCAGTGAGAGGAGGAAACTCCTTGGGGTATTCATGCCACTAGACCCGACTCCTACTCCCAGAGTTTAGCAAGCTGTGGCCCCGACCCCTGCCCCCAAGCCACAGCTTCAATCTGGGATCACATCTAAGTGGGCACCTGTGCCCTCTAGGAATGCCTGGTCAGTGCGAATACCCATGTTATCCCAAGACTAAAAGGGAAAAGAAACAATCGAGCTGAAGTCAGTATGGGGGGGAAGACAGAAAGCCGAGGACAATCCCCTGCCCCCCAAGATCCCTGAAGAGTCTGATTGAATTCACAGGGCTGCCCTGCACCAAAAAAAGCTTGATCCAAGGACAAGACCTCAGGTCAGAAGGGACCAGCCGGGGGAAGAAAACAGAAGGGGTGGCGCTCAGCTACCAGAAGTTCTGGAGCGGCTTTCCTGGGGCCTTAGCGCAGTACACACCCACGGCAATGAAGCCCTGGCATCTTGAGGCTAATGGCAGAAGTGGGAAGGAGGCTCCATGATGCAGCATGGAGGAGCATCTATCTTTGGAGTCGGGTTCAAACCTGGGCTCAAACCCTCCACCCCCTTACTAGCTAGGGTGGCTTAGAGGAGTCCCTTCCTCTCTCTGGACCTTGTCTGTAAAATGAGGGGTTGGGCTAGATGATCTGAAGCCTCTCCCAACCCTAAATCCTATGAGAAGATAGAATCTGCGATAGAAATCTGATTGGCGCCAGCCTTTTCAGGAAGACATTCGTAGATTCCATAACAGGGTGGAGGGGCTGGGGGAGTGAGTGTCCTGCCCCTACCTGCCGCAGGGATGGCAGGAAGAATCAAGAGCGCTCTGATGAGAGGAAGCCGTGCAGATGGGCCGGTCCTGACATGGTCTTTAGGGGACAGGATGGAGACAAAGACAGACGCCCTGCCTGGGAGCATGAATTCTCAACGGAAAGGGCAGCGCTCCAGCCCAGGTCCCCCACTGCAAACACAAGGCAGAGCTACATGGGGTGATGTCACCCCCACAAGGACCCTCGAGGGGTCTGGCAAGGAGCGCCTCCGAGGGTACCACACTAAGCTCTTGACGCCTGGTGTGCTGTGAGCTGCAGTCACTCTGGGGCTGGCCCCGAGTCTCATCTTGTACACGCTCAGAGGAGTGTGGCACAGCTCAGGTCAAAGGCAGGATTTGAAAGCTCAGTGAGGGACGAGGCAGAGGCAGAAACGTGAGGTTTCCGGCTCTTGCCACAGGACACAGGGGTCCATCTTGCAGGTGCCCCCTTGCTGCCCCCTTCCCGCCTCTTCCCGGCGTCCCTGCAGCAGGAACCATCAGTGCAGGTAGGGGCAGGACACAGACCCGGGTTAAAAGCCTCCAGCCTGGGACCGCCTCGGAGACGGCATCCGACTGCAGTCCACCATTCCCAGCACCAGATGGGAGAAGGGCGTACGTTCCTCGGAGTGACCAAAGAAGGCTACGTATGGGTCAAGGGACAACGCAAGAAGGTGGGCAGAGGCAAGCAGACAAGCCAGCGAGTGTCAACACCAACCCGGGCTATGGCCTCAGCAATTTTCAGAAAACAGGTAGCACCTGGTTGAAAAAACAAAAACAAAGACAACAAATTACCACTGCTTTAGCATAGGGAGTGAGCGAACTGGAGGCAAGGGATGGGAGCCAAACCTTGGGCAAGGCTTCTTACATGCAGAAACCTTTGCTACCTTTCCCGACAGCATCATGGGATGATGCCCAGGGAAGGGAAAAGGACTTACCCAAGGTCTCCCAGCAAATGGCAGATCTGAGACCCCAAACTCCTCACGCCAGGGCTCATCCCGCCTCACGTGGCCGAACAACGAACGAACACAAACCAAAGGCAGAGCCCACCTAAGTGGATGGTGGCAGTGGACAGGGGTATGGTGTTATTTGGGTGCCGAGACCACCCGAGAGTGAGCCTGCTCATCTGCTGCTGGCCCACGCCAAGCACCAAGAGACGCTTCAGGTTCCTCCTGCTTCCCAATTCAGCCTCACCTCGGCCCATCCCACCTCATGGCCTCCTTTACCCAGAAAGCCCACTCTCAGCCGATCTCGGAATCCTCAAAAGCTAGACTAGAGAGGGCTGGGGAGGTCAGCTAGCGTAACCCCCCTCACTTCCCAGACATGAAAGCAAGCTGGACAAGGGCCCACAGGTACTATGTACGAGGCAGAGCCGGCATTTGAACCCAGGCCCTCTGCCTCCAAATCTGCAAGTTTCAGTGTCTTCATCTTGTTCTATTATATACACTATACACTGGCCAGAACGTTTTCATTTTTGAATTTATTAAAATGATTAACCTCAATACTGCAAGTCCATGTACAAAATTTTGGTAAAAAAAGTTTTGTTTTTTTTTTTAATGAATTGTAAAGAACTTACCTCAAATGCTGAAAAAGGCCTTTTGGCATTCATTCTTTCAGTACAAGGAATACAGAGTATCTCAAAGGTATTACAACTCAGTCAAACAATTCAAACAGTCATTTTGAAAAATGATTTAAAATGGGATCTTTACATAGATTTCTACGATTATCTCCTAAGCTCTCACAATGTCTGAATCTTTGCCCATCATTGCATAAGCTCAAGCCTAGAGTTTTAACCTCCTGCCCTCGGTCCCAAGCTGGCCCTCACCCCAAATTTCCAGGCCCACAGCAGCTCTGAACCGCCTGTCTTAATAAGGGAAGATCAGGCTCTCGAGATGGCATCACCAGGGACTTCCAGATGCTTGTGCAAACCAGCCCCTGAGAGGCAGCAAGCTATGGCAGCGAGTCTTCCACCAGGGTATTGATGGCATGAAAGCCATGGGACAGAAATCTCAAAAGAGACTGACATAAAATAAATAAGGAAAAAATAAATCTCAACTTAAAAAGCAAGAAGAATGAGAAATGTAATTAAAGATCTTTTATTACTTTACAACGAAAGCTAGAACCATGGAAGGGTGGCCCCAAGTATGCAAAGAACCAACCCAGGATATTCCTCTGCCCTCCCCGACTCAGATCCCCCAATGCCACAGTCCCCAACGTGAAGAACTACTGATTTAAAGGACAGGACATGATTCCTTGCCCTGGAGACCAGTCTTCCCTGTCCGGGACATTACCTGGCCTCCTGTTTTCTCTACCCTAGAGAGGGTGCTGTAAGGATTCAGTGATGTCCAGAGGGCCGCGAGCCCCTCACAGACAGATCATCATGCTTACAGAGCAACTATTACCTGGCACCCTCAGAAATCCATCCCCACCAACTGGAGACGAGGCCGGCTGCTCCCTAAGGAACGTGTGGAGGGCTAAACTGCACAGGCAACGGAGAGGACGAGACTAGAGAACGTTCTCCCGGGAGAATGAGAAGCAGGATTTAAAAAAAAAAAAACAAAAAACCAGACCCGGAGGGTGGGAAGGCCCTCGTCTCTGGTCACCCCCTGGCATTTCAGCGGGCAGAGGGAGCCAGACAAGGTCTGTCTGTCGCGGGGGGCAGACACTGCCGGCTCCTCCCCGGCCCGGCCCAACCCCTGCTAGGCATGATTCTCCAGATGTGGCCAGCGGGCAGCCATGGGACTCGTGACCACCCCCTGTCACAGCAGCCTTTCAGACTCTGCGTTCAGTGATTTATAAGATAATCCATAGAAATCATACAAGAGTCTGGCATCAACACCAAGTTGTAATCAAAGTTGCTTTGTTCGTTAAACGATTAGGAATTCTTCTTCCCTCTCTTCAAAGTGCTTACCGCAGCTCTCCCGTTGGCTGGGAGCCAGGAGGGACCACTGACGCGGGTCTGCGCGGGGCGGCCTGGGGCATTGGCATGAACGTAGAGAAACCTTCCTGGTAAGTTCTTTTAATGTCTCATGACAAAAGTTTCTCACAACACACAAATATTTACAACATGTACAGTGTTTTCAGTCCTTTCCATTGAATCTCCAAGACAAACATTTGTATAGGGCACCACAGAACAAAAGCTGTGACTCCTGTTTTTATTTCATAAACTAGTATAAGTTAAAGTGAATAGATTTCTTTATATTCCTTGTAGCATTTTACAAGTGCAACAGAAAACGATGAAGAACCGAATGACGAGCTGTGGGTCATGGGGTCAATGCTGCCTGGTGTCACCACATTGCTTCACAGCAAATTGTTGAAAAAATAAGCACCAATCATTCTTGCAAAGAACAATTTTATCTAAAAGTATTGAAAAGTGTTAAATACAAGGTGTTTAATTTACATAACAAGCAATAAATACACCATATTCAAACTTCCGTTCCGCACACCGCTACCCTCGTACATATAATGTACTAACAAGTTAGCAAACTGTCAACACCATTGTCGCCGTACTTTTTTAAAAAAAAAAAAGAAATCCATCTCACTTCCAGCCAACGGCTCACTACGGGACCCAGGCCGCCAACCATCCATCTGGGACAGCACACAGTGTAAAACGGACAAGACACCTACCCAGGAAATCAAAGCGTCACAGGTCATTGCTGGTGATAGTAACACGCACTCGGAGACGTCGCTACGCTGCTACGGTGATTTGTAAATTACGGGTTAGTCAGATATCCGAGAGCAGGGACGCTCCGCAGGGTTAAAAATCATTGTGTAGCCACATCATTGCTGCCACCGTCCTGCAGGGAAGGCGGATCTCTGTACAACGTCCTTGGAGCCTTTATTTCACAGCAGGGCATCCCCTCAACCTCAGAATTGCACGTAAGAAGGCTATTTAAAAAGTCCAATAAAAAGGCGCACCCGCCCACCCGCCAGGCGCCGCTGTCCACCGGCTGCCGCACGCGGACCCCTCCGGGACGGGACTTCCGCGGCTCAGGCGTTGAGCCTCAAGGACTGGTCCTCCCGCCGCCGGGAGGAGATGTCGATGTCGATGGAGTCCTTGCCCACGATGAGCCGCAGCCGCTTGGCCGGTGGGAGCGGGATGAAGTCGTCCTCGAAGTCATCCTCATAGTCCTCCTCGTCCTCGTCCTCGTCCTCGTCCTCCTCCTCCGAGGACGACTCCTCGGCACTCTCCTCCTCGTACTGGCTGTACTCGTCCACGTCCATGCTCGACTCCAGCAGCGAAAGGGTCTCTGGGCAGCACAGTCCGTTCTCGCGCAGCTCCTCCGCGAAGGGGCCTCGGCTCTCGTCCTCCCGCTTGAGCTGAATCTTGAGCTTGGTGGAGCTGCCGCTGCCCGACCCTGAACTAAAGCCGTTATTGAGCTTGGCGACGTAGAGGCTGTTATCTTTGTCATGGTCTTTACTTAATTTGATGCTGATTTTTGAAGAGTTCATTCCGTCACTGTCTTGGTCGTTGGCCTTACTGCTGCTATCGTGGCGCCTCCGAAGAGTCAATTTGGGAATCCCAGAGCTGTTTTCTAGGATCAGCTGCGCATCATACCTTGTGATGCGCCGTTTTTTTTTGCTTTTCGCAGTTCTAAAGTTGTCCTTTGTTTTGAAACGGTCGGGCGTCCCAACAGAACACCCACCCGTCGCGGAAGGCGTGCAGTCCTGGCGGCCCATGGGTCCGTCCGCTCTGTCCCTGGGCTCTCCGTGGTCAGAGTGAGAGCTGATGAGGTCGGGCACCCCTCCATCGCTCTCAGGGGCATCCAGGACTGGAACGGGCTCCTCTGCTTTTGCAAACTGTTTCAACAGTTTCCCTTGCCGTGATTTCTTTTTGGCCGTGCTCACATCATCCTTTGGAGACCTCCCCTCCCCTTTTGGGGATGCGGCTTCGGGGGCCTTTTCCTGGTCACACGCTGCATGAGTGGGGGTTGGCTCCACACTGTCCGTGTCAGGGCCCGTGCCCGTCCAGGTATTGAGAGAGCTTCCCGACAGGTTGGGCTCGAGGGCCGGCTCGGAGGTCTCCTTCCAATTCGTTCTCGTCCTCACTGACCTCCGAGTGATGTAGGCGCAGGGCGACTCCCCGTCCTGCTCGGGAGCCCCGTTCACGGGCCCCTGCCTGTGCTCTCGCGCTGCGTGGCGGGTCAGGCACCCGCCGGCCGTGGTGGTGCTCGCTGGTCCCTCGGCTGCCCTGTCCTTTTTGATGGGCAGGTTTTTGTACAGAACCACTTTGGGCTCTTTGAGGACCAGGCTCCCCACTTCGAGCTTCCTCGAGGCGCTCTTCGGCTCTGGCCTCCTGCACTGGTTTCTGAGCTTTATCTTGGAAAGCAAAGGCTTGATGACAGGCCTTTTCAACTTCTTTGGTACCCTGGGATTGTGGAGAGGAGTGAGTCTCGATGAGGTAGAGTTGGAGGATGCGGGGATCCGTGACACCGACGATGATGGCCGCGTTAACGATCGGTTCTTGCTGCTCTTCTTCACACCGACAGACGATTTCCTGCTAGCGGCTGCAAGAAAAAAAACGAACAGAGAATTAGGGAAAGCCCAGGCCACAGGAGGATCCGACAGAGGCCAAAGCAGTGGAAGCTTCTAGGTCGAGCGGGACAGGGAGCAGTTTCTGGATGGCATGAGACGTGGATTTTCTTCCCATGAATTCATTTTCAAATATTGCCACTTATGGAACACCTACTGCTTTTTGAGGGAAAATGATTTTGTGGTTAAACAGCTCTTATTGCTAGGAATTCAGATTTCACCGTGAGCCTTTATAATTCTTGCCCTCTATTTTTCCACATCTCGGAACACTCTCAAAAAGGAGAAATCGAGAGAAAATGGGTAAAATTTACATTTCCTCCCAATCTCTTGTTTAGTGGAATACAAACAGTTAATGGGTTTGAATGAGCACCCAAGTAATGGCCATCACTATTATGTGGACTACCCCCCAATTCAGATGCAAATCCCAGGAGACACAGGGCAGGCGGTCAGCCCACAGGAGCAGTTTCAGTAGGTGTAAGACAGGAGAACTGAAACACAGGGGCACAAAGACGTGTCCCCTGAGAATGGGGATGGCCCTGGGGCCGTCCACATAGAACACACCAGACACGAATGCGTCTCTCTTTCTGGGTCCCATACGCTCAATCTCGCTGCTGAGCCCGACGTCTGATCACCCCCCACCCTAGTCCTGCACCTTCTCTGAGATCACCCTGATGCCTGAGCTCAGCAGGTGCCCGGACAACAGACAGGCTCCCTGAGCCGCCCTTTCCTATCCACTGCGTCCAGCTCAACAACCTCAATGACCTCAGAAGACAGCACGGACCCCGACTGATGGGACCTCAATGCTTATGTTATGAATGTGTCTACCTTCTAGACTAAGTCTAGAAAAGACTGTTCTACCAGACACCTCCCCACCACTGCCCTATCCAAACAGAGGGGATGGACCTTGTCAAAGTGGGCTGAAGTGGGCTGACCACACCTCTCTTGGTTTTTTTTGGTGAGGGAATCGGGGTTAAGTGACTTACCCAGGGTCACACAACTAGTAAGTGTCAAGTGTCTGAGGCCACATCTGAACTCAGGCCCTCCTAACTCCAAGGCCGGAGCGCTATCCACCGCGCCACCTAGTTGCCCTCTACACCTCTCTTTATGCAATGGTCCATTCTGTTCCCTGAGGGACCCATTGTTTAAGAGTGACTTGTGAATCCAATGGGACAACGACCAACCTAAAGGAAACTAATGCTCCTAGGAAAAGTAAGAGGTGCAGGCAGGCCTAGGAGAGCGGATGCCAATGAGAATCCTGACTGCCACTCAAACACACGCTGAGAACCACTCCGGATCCTGGAGTGTCTCATGGGACAGGAGAGCCCTGAGAAGGGGCTCTGAAAAGAGGTCGCTGCTACTCTGGCCCTGGCGTCAGGTCATTCCCAGGCAGTCTGCTTTGCTTAGCGGCTGGAGGTTCAAGGCTGCGTGCCGCCCCTCCACCCCCTTTCTGCATGAACCACATGAATGAACAAAAGCATTTATTAAACGCACATAATATGCAAAGTCCTATGTCCAGCACGGGGAATGCAGTGAGGCCCTGCCCTCGAGGAGCTCCCACTCCAGTGGGGGAGATCACATATGGGGAAGGTCTCAGCTGTCAGTCAGGTGGAAAAGTCCCATGGCTCCTAGGGAGGAGAAGCCAAGCAGGCACCAGCCCCTCCTTTGAAGTCATTTCCACTGATCTAATCACCCCAGCTCCTGATTCGGAACCACCAGACAGGTGGGGCCCAGGCTCTGGGGCCACAACTTTCCCTTCTGGGTGTCCAGCTGCTGTGGCGCAGCCCCTGCAGGAGCAGGTCCAGGCCGAGGCTCCCCAGGATGACCCCAGGACAGCGAGGCTTAGCTTGTGCTCAGGCCCTGGGCTGTCTTCATCAGGGAAGGGAGGGAGGGTCAGGGTGGGTAGGGGTTTGACACGCCCAATTCATGCTACCTCCCGTTTCCCCCTGAGGGTGTCCTCCCCCCCAGCCAGGCTGGCATTCACTGTGACATGCCTCTTATCAAGGCCTGGCAGACCCAGAGTTAAGACAAGGCAAGCCAAGTGCTCATCCAGCTGGCACCCAGGGCCCCTGTCTGAGCGTGACCCCGCCTCCGCGCCCGAGGCACCTGCTCATCTCGTCACCGAGGTGGTGGGGGGGAGAGAGGACTAAGAAACCCAACTGACCACAGCGGAGCAATGGGAGAGGACCCTCCACTCTCTCCTGGCCCCCTCTCTGGCTGCAGAAAGGGAAGCAACGTAAGGTCACACAGCTCCCCTGGCAGCTCTCAAAGGCATGAGTGCGGTGAACAAGAGGAAGCCATTGGTGCCTGGCGGCTGAGGGACACCGGCAGCACCTGCTTCTCATCTCCCACGGCCACTCTCTCTGGGGGGAGGCTCGGCGTTATAAGACACTGCAATCCCTCTCTCACACATGCGATCACTCACAGGAAAAAGTAAAATGTAAAAGAAAACCGGGGCGAATGCAGCTGACACCCAAGCCTCCGGGTGCGTTCAGAACAATGGAACAAGCCAGCCAAGGAGAGTCAGCAACAAAGAAGCATCAATTCCTTAGGAAAGAACACTTTATGGGACAAAACGTGCTGGGCAAACTAAAAGGCAGCCTGGCAGAAATCAGGGGCAGGGCAACACCTCAGGCCCCATTTCACAACGAATTCAAAATAAATATTCAGCCTCCACGTTAAGGGTACTATCACAACAACAGCTGTTGGCATTTATATGGCACCTACTACGTGCCAGGCCCAGCACGAAGCACACAGTCATTTGATCCTCACCATCACCCCAGTTTACAGAGTAGGAAACTGAGGCAAACAGGGTGAAGTGACTTGCCCTAGGTCACATGGCTAGTAAGGGTCTGAGGCCAGATTTGATGAGTCCTCCTGACTCTAGGCTGGCACTCTGTCCACTGTGCCACCTTGCTGCCCATAGCATAACAAATCACAACAGCAGCAAAGCACATACCCTTTCAAAGCTAAACAAGAGAGAGGGCCAACTGCAAAAGACAAGACAGATAACTCTGACTACGTGAAACTGAGAAGCTTCTGCACAAACAAGGCAGACGCACCAAGGGTAAAAGGAGAAGACAAAACTCTTTCTATTAAGCTCAGGGCTGACAGGCACCCTGGCGCACTGTGGGAGAGCCATCCGCCATCACACAGATAAAGTAGCTCCGTGTCCCAAGGAGGTCACTGCAAGAAGAAAGTCCCTGCTACCCACAAAGGCCGAGAGCAGCCCTTTCTGTGGCCCAAAGAATCAACTGGGGAAGAGCACGCGATGTCACCAAGAAGCACAGCTCGAGCGACAGGAACCGACGGGAGCCCAGGGCAAACAGTGACCCTGGCACCACCAAACACACAGGAGGGAGCGTGGCCACCCCACAACGGGCACGCATGGCCCCACAGGAGACACAGGGGAAGAGGCGCCCTGCCCACTGCTTCCCAGAGGCACGAGGCCCACACCGAGAGGATGTTGTGCATGTTTTCCTTTTTCAACATATCAGTCAAGTTTTAGTTTTTCTTTTCTTTTTTCTTTTTTTCCTTTTAAAACAGTATTATTTAATATATGGGATGAATCTTTGGGAGGGGAGGGGAGAAAGTATGCTGGGAAAAATTCTGGTGGTGTAAAAAACTGTAAGATATTAATAAAATTTATTTTAAAAATAAAAAGAGTATAAGTGAACTCTTAGGGTGGTCTAAGGCACAAATGTTTACGGAATGATTTGGGAAACCCCAATGCTCCTCTATGCCAATGTGCTATGCCCACTTGACAGTCTTGAACAATTACTTTGGGAAAAACAGGAAGGACAAAACAATTAGCCTACTGACAACTCAGACTCACTTTTCCATTACTGAAACATATAGAATTAGAATGCCACATGTTTAAATTATGCTTCCATCCTCCACACAGCTGCCTGGGCAATAATGCTCAAGGGCAGGTGTGACCACGTCTCTGCCCTCCTCAGGACACTCCAACGTCTGCCCAGCCCTGTAAGATCAAACATCAGCTCTGCTATCTGTCTTGAAGGCCGGTCTCAGCCCACTCTTCCCAGCTTGGCTGGCACTCTGCCCCCCATCTCCGCACCTAGGTACAGTCCTTTGCCACACCTGAACGCCCTCTCTCCTAACCTCTGCTCAGAAAACCTGGTTTCCTTCGCGCCTCGGATAAGCAGGACCTTCTAGATGAATGACACCTTTCCTTAGGTCCAGCCTTCCTAGTGTGAGGGCTTTATCCTCCAATTCCCTCATCCATTTTCTCTGTGGATGTATCTTCCCAAGCAGGAGCTGGCTGTCGCGTTTTTTTTTGTCACCCGGAGGCACTCAACGAGCCGCCTGGTAACTGATTCCAATTCCAGACCCAAAGCTTTGCCACTCTAATGAAATACTCCAGGGCATATGTTACAACCCAAATGCAGAAACCTGCTCATTTGCAAGCAGGCCTTCTGATCCAAACAGCTGTGGGATGGGACCTTCCTCAACTTCGGAAAACCACTCAGGGGTGCTGAAAAGCCCTGGAGGGCTGGCCGGCCCAGGCAGAAGGACCCTGGAGAGATCAGGCCCAGGCTGCCAGGTGCCTCCAACTGCGTGACAGCTCTCCGAGTCCGTGCACGCTCAGGAAGCCCATCGGGCTGTCCCAGGGCCGCTGTCTCAGAACCACCATGAGATCTCTTTAAAGCCAGCTGAGTGTGGATGGGCAGGGACGCTCATGTCAGTTTACACACATATGTCAATGGTGAATTCTGATCCTTCATGCCAGAAGTCCAGATGCAGGAATCCAATCCAACATGTTTCCAGCTGTGAAGACCCTTGGGCTTAGCCAATGAGTCTTGGAGATGGAAAATGAGCATTTGGGATGATGCCACTCATCCCCTTGCCCCAGAGATCCCACTGCCAGGCATATGCCCCAAGGAAGTCACAGACAAAAAGCAAGGCACCTGCAGATACTGAAGGTGCTTGAGAACTAGAAACAAAGGTCATCCCCAGGGAGGGAGCGGAGAATGCCTGAGCTGGGGCAGGCTGAGAAGCCACATCAGGAGAGTGCTCGAGGACTCCCTGCAGACCCCTGCCCCAAGGTCCTGGTCAGTCTTGCCGGGTTTTCCTGTCCGTGTCCTCTCTGAGCCTGCCCCTCTGCTGCGGGCAGGGATGCTAATGCCAGAGACGGGGACGCACAGTCCGTCCATCCTCATGCTCGGTGCTTCGTGAGGGATGACAAAGGGCCATGGCGCTCTTTACCTCCAGATCCACGTGCGCTGCCACTGGGAGCGAGCCTCTCCGCCAGGATTCTTGGTCGCTGCTCCCCTTCAGACGTGGCTCGTGACCACGTCCTCCCTACTGGAAGTCCAGGTTTTTAGGGGCTTTGCATCTTGTCTCAGAGACGGTCGCGTGTTTCTTTCAATTCCTCACACTTGCCAAACTCAGCTGCATCGTGGGAGCCGTGCCGACGGCGTCTTCTGCTCGGGGGCGCTCTCGACAACGGAGTTATGGGTCTGCAGGGCTGTGAACTCACGCGCAGTCCCACTGTCAGACGGAGGCAGTGCTGGCCTGAAGACCGCTCCCGTCCCTGGACCAGAAGGGGGCGCAGCTGGGCTTCTCTGACCCCCAGCGCTCAGAGGCGTCTAAACCCCCCCCACCAACGAGATCTCCTTTTTGGCGGGGCTCCCGCCAGGCAAGCTTCAGGCTATTTAGCACGGGTACACAGGTTCACCCCACCCCCGATGCAGAACTAGGGATCTGGCATCAAAGCATCGTCTGTTGAAGGAAAAGGTAGAAAAAAGATTAAATTCTGCAATAACTGAGTGATCAGGAAGCAGAGGAGAAAACCCACACTAGTGGAAATCCAAGGGCTCTGCCTCAACGTCCTCCTCAACACGGACCGAGGGAGAAGGACTTGGGGCTCAAGCTTGTAGATGGTTTAATCCCTTCCCTTCAAAGCCAGTCTCTCAAGGACTGAGCCCTCCTGTCTCCCACGTCAACTCAGAGCCCTCTCCTTCTTACTTCTGGAACTGCTGAGATGAACAGTTCTCCAGCCATCTCGTCTGCGAGCTTTAGCTACTTACAAGAGCCACCACATTGCATCTGGGAAACAAACTATGGTATGATTTTTCTAAAGGTTCAACACAATGAGGTGCTTCCAAGTAGCCACACAGCAGGCACCGAGCCGCTGGTCCGGTCTGAGGCCTGCGGCCTGGCCTGGGAGGGAAGTGACGGTTCCCCAGTGAAGGAAGCCCTGGGGTGAGGACAGGCGGCACGCTGAGCCAGTCCCTTACTCACTTGCATCGTTTTTTTCCTGAGCGGTGTCTGCGTCCGTGTTGGAGCTGACAGACTGGCTGTCTGAATTCTTGCTGCTGTCACCCAGCTTTTTCAGCCTGTTCAAGCGCTTGTCGGTCTCTCTGAGCCCGTATTTACTGTTGATGACGGGAGCAGGAGTGGGCAGTCCCACTCTCGATTTAAAAGCACCAGTTCCCCGTCTGGAAGAAAGGAGAGAACTCGTGGCAGCGTACCCACACCCTCCCAGGCCCCTCCCCTTCCATGCTAGGGAACCCCCAACTCCAAGGCTCCACAGTACTGAACACGAGGGATGAGAGTGGCTATTTTAAGAAAAGACTCATGATTTTAAAAAAATTCAATGTGACGATCCAATTCACCAGCCACTCCCAAGTGCCCCCAAGGAGCAGGCCCTGTGCCTGGAGCTGGGGGCCAGGGACTCAAAGCCCCAAAGCTGAGAAAGGACACAACATGGCATCCTAGGACCCCAGGGAGGCAGAACGGGGCAACCTCCACCCCCTATCTCACGAGTTAGGAAACTGAGGCCCACAGAATCTTAGACACACACACAGCAGCAAACAAAAAGACACACAAAGGAAGCACAAGGTTTCAAAAGGACCAAAGGGGGAGCACCAGGTACGGCCACGGACAGGAAGCGGCAGCTGAGGCAGGCTCTGAAGAGGAGAGGGCACGCCGGGTACAGGCCAGCCTGGCAAACTATGGCTGGAAACAGAGACGGGGGGCCAGATGGAGAAGGCTTGGCATGCCCAGGTGAGAGTTTCATTTTATCCCAGAGGCTGGGCCCTGAGTTACTGCTGGTCTTCAGTGGGGGTCAGTCTGACAAGACAAACTGCAGAGAAAAGACTAAAACCGGCTCCTCATCTGACAGATGACAATATGTGATGAGACCCGCAGGGGTCGCTTGTGACTTGCCTAAGGTCAAACAACACTGCCAAAGGTGGGATGAGCTGGGTTCAAATCCCGCCTCCAAGGTTAGTGCCCTCTTCCCTACACGCTTTGTGCCAAAGGGCCATCAATCGGGGTGCCTAAATGCCCAGTCCGGCCTGGCTCCTGTGGATGCCTGGGACACACACCCTCCTAGGGGCCCTCGAGGGTCCTCGCTCTTCCCCCACCCTCCACAGCCTTGATGTCCCAGGGGCAGAGGCCAGCGGAGGCATGTGAACTGGTTTTTCCCTATTCTCATCACTCTGTTCAGCACGAATGGTTTCCCTTGTTACCCTGTGTTTTATTGTATGCGTCTGAAAACGCAATTCTGAGAAGGGTCCACGGTGTCTAGCAGAGTGACTGCCCAGGGGGTTAGGGGCACAAAGCTGGGGAGGAAGCCCTGTCTGGACCGAGAGCTTTGTGTCACACTGCCATGAGCGTCCAGGACGCGGAAAGGACTCACCGAGGGGCAAGTCTGACTCTGGTCGTCTCCCCCCGCCCATGGGAGGCGGGGGTTATCTGGACCTCTCTCCTGAGGCTGGTGACTCTCTCCCCTAATGAAGGTAACCCAAAGATGACTTTCAACAACGTGAGTTAAGTCGACAAGCACATATTAAGCGCCTACTGTGTGCCATGCACCGCGCTAAGTTCTGGGGATACAAAGAAAATGCAAAGACAGCCCATGCCCTGGTGGAGCTCCAGACACCCTGCAAACAGTGAGGCAGAAGCGTGTCACAGACGGGATCTCTCAGAGGAAAGGCACCAGCATTAAGGCGCACGAGATTCTAGTGAGGAACTAAAGGAAGCCAGTAACGCCAGGAAGCAGAGGTGAGGAGGGGGGAATTCTAAGCACTAGAGACAGCCTGTGAGAATGGCCAGAGCCAAAAGATGGGGCATCCTGTGGGTCACTGTCGCAGAGGACGTGGTGGGCAGGGGGGTGGAGTAGGAACGGAAAGGGAGGAGAGGGCAGGGGAGGAAAGGCCCTGAATGCTGAAGGCTACAGGGAGCCCCTGCGGGTGACACAATCAGACCTGTGACTGAATAGAGGACAGAGTGGAGTGGGGAGAGACTTGGGGCAGACAGACTCCCAGCAGCCACTGCAACAGTCCAGGTGTGAGGCGGTGAGGGCGTGTGTGTGTGAGACACAGTGTCAGAGAGAAGCATGTGTATTCAAGAGATGGTGCAACAAACTTTAACACTAGCTACTACATGAACAGCTTTGTCACTCAACTCTCTGCTCTCCTGCCTTTCCCACACTCCGCCCCACCCTGCTCCACCTGGCCAAACTCTGCCAACGGGGTCCTGGAGGAAGCTCATCTGAGCCCCTCTGGCTCCTGCACCGAGCCTCTCAGACCCTAGGACTACTCTCTGGCTAGCATAGCTTCTGTTCAGTTTCTCCCGTTGGAATGGAAGCTCCTGGAGGGCAGGGCTACCTTTGCTTCTGTATTCATCATCCCTGGCTTATCACAGTGCTTGGCACACAGGAAAGCCGTCATTTATTTAGCTCAGGAAAGGGGAGTGAGGAAGACCCGAGGGAGCCTGGTCCTAACACTTCGGCTAGTCTGTCTGACCCAGCCTAAATCTGACCGTGCACTGCTGAATGCTGAGTAAACACACCAGCAGTCTTCAGACTCCCATCTCTCTTCCCTTGAGGTCTATTTACGCCCCAGTTATCCAGCTCATCTGTGTGAATTGTCGATTACTGGAAGATGACACGTTTCTATGCTTAGAATTTGTGGTAACTAGAAATCACTTAACTGTGGCCTAAGTGCCTTAGGAGACTTGCTTTCCAGACTACATATTGCTTGCCAGCAGCATTTCAACCATCTGTGTATTCATACATACTTTCAAAATAACAGAGGGGGCACATAAAGGGGTTGTTCTCAAATATTCCAAATAACCTTCCTGGGCAAACCTTCTCTACGGGTGGGTCTTTATCTCTTATTTTCCCCTGCTAGGTCACACACACACACTTTCAGATCACCGGCACTTCAAAAGTCTGCTGCATCACTGAATAAACGATGATAATCCTACCTCCAGTGTGAGAAAGAAAAGGACTAGTGAAAATGGGTAGCAAGTATTCCAGATTGTAAAGCATGATCCCCTGTTACCCTGCCCATCCCCTTGGGAGTAGGGGCTGTTATCATCTCCATTCCACAGATGAGGAAACCGAGGGAGTCAGAGGTAAGGGACTTGCCCAGGGTCACACAGCCAGTAAGTGGCTGAGGCAGGATCTGCAGGTGCCCCGGCGCCCCAGTCTTGACCATTCAGTTGAACAGCTGGGAGTGAGTGCAAGAAGCACACGATGCACTAATGGGACCCCCAAGTGTCTCTTTAAGCCTTCAACTGCAGCGTGGGGCAGACGGAGACAGAGGAAACACAATGAGCAGTCATGTCTCCTGCAGCAGGGATGCGTGGGCCGGGTTGGGTTCTTTAAGACTCTGAGCGGAGAAGACACATAGGGCCTCGCCCTTGGCGCAGGGGGGGTCCTCCCACAGCTGAGCGGAAATCTCCAAGAAGCAAACTGAGGCTGGGCCATTAGAAAAAAACTTCCTAACAAACAGCTGCCTAAAAATGTAGTGAATGGGACTTAGGGGGCAAAGTGTAGATGACCTTATCAGGGACATGGTGAAGGAAGGAGATTCCCGGTAGTGGGCCCACCCTGTGGGGTCTCAACATACTCTGATTAGGGAGGGGGAGAGAGGGAGAGAGGGGGGGAGAGAGAGAGAGAGAGAGAGAGAGAGAGACAGAGAGAGAGAGAGAGAGAAGAGAGAGAGAGACAGAGAGACAGAGAGAGAGAGACAGAGAGACAGAGAGAGTAAAAAGAGGGGAGAAAGGCCCAAGAGAGAGAGACTGAGGAGAGACTGGGAGACAGAGAAAGTGGTGAGACAGAGAGGAAAGACACAGACAAAGACAGAGAGACACAGGGAGATCGAGAGAGAGGGGAAAAAAAAAAGACACAGCCACAGGGACACAGAGAGGGGAGACACAGAGAGAGACAGCACAGAAAACCTGGCTGAACCAGTTCGTCCAGGAATGACTAGAAGGCACCGTGGGTCACAGTAATGCTCCGGGGCAGACCCTCAATGCCTCTGAGCCATTCCCAGAGTAGTTCACCGAGTTCTTCAGACCAAGAACGTACCTTTCACATGTGTAACACTCGCAATACTCATTGTTTTCTCCAAAAACCCGTCTCCGTAATAACAAGATATTTCTTCTCCAGGCTCAATATCTCTCAGGGCTTTTACACATGCTGTGTTCCCGACCAGTTGAAACAAACTGTAATGTAACAAGGAATGCGTTAAATAAAGGGTCTAATTTGAAGAGGGCCCAGAATTCAGACATCGATTTTTTTCTAAACAAATAATACCTACCTTACAGTTAGGTCTGCAATCTGAAAAATGTCCAAAAGATAAAGTCAATTAAGTGCTGATAAGATCTGAAACACGAATAATTACAGAAGCCTGAAATAAGCTTTCAAAGCCGTGCTGAAGCTTGCGCTGAGTGAGGCAGCGACGGCCACATTCAATCAAGGGGACAGGGGAGGTTTCTATTTGGGGACTCGGGGGCTAAAGGGAGCCCCCCAGGAGCTGGGCTTCTGTCCCTTCACAAGGGACAGGCTAACATCTGGGGCTGGCCTGGTCCTCACTAGCCTGAGAAGGCGCATCTAACTTCAGGCCGCATTCCCAGACAGCAGAGGGCTGAACGCCGTCCCCATCCGTCTTACCATGGTTTATAAAGGCAGCAGGACCAAGCCAGAGCTGAGCACAGTTTTTCCTGGTGGAATACATGACACTGAAATCATTTTCTCCATGTCTAAGTAGCATGTTCTCCTCTATTTCTGAAAGTTCAGCAATACAACCCACCAGCAATTCTATCTTGTCATTCCGTTTCCTATTGAAAACATATGAAAAGAACAGTGATCAAGACTTTGCTCTTGATAAATTAATCTGGTCAGCCAGTAGATGCTGGGAATGGCCAAAGTCTCCCCCTGGCGAAAGGGGGGGCTGGTCGCTGTGGGCCAGTCTGGCGTCGTCCTCCCATCCACATCAGGGCTCTCACGTTTTCCTGCACATCTACGTCGGCAGCTCCAAAGAGCGCTGGCCTGGAGAAGTACCCCACATCTGCTGCCCCTCATGCCCTGGGCTTCAGGGGCTCATGCTCATCCCTCCCGGGGGCGTCTGAGCCTCATAGTTACCACTCTTTTGTTGCAACGATTTTGGCTCCATTCTGTTCTGATGAATACCGATTGCAAGGTAGGATTTCAAATCCACTGTCAGTTGCAAACATTCGCAAATAAATAAATACCTAAAATGGGGGAAAAAAGTTTTGGTGTGAGTTTGCAGTCAAAGTGTCCAGTGGAGGTCATCAGGCCTTTCATCAGGCCTTCATCTGGATGGCTATTCAGATCCCTTCCAAACACACCCACAGCCTCCAAGTTGTCTTTGTGGACATCCTTTCAAACACCTCCCACCCCACACTTTACCTCCGTGAGGAAAGTCAGTTAACTAAAGCCACAGTGCATATTCATTATTATTCTATCATTAACCAGTGAATTTTAAACACATCTAAGTGCTAACAACAGGCAGGCAGTCCCTTACTAAGATATATCCAAAAACCCATGGATTTCTTCCTTGTGGACATTCCTTCCAACCATGGGGACCACGACCCTCCTCACCTCCACAGTGAGGTCAACGAAGAACCTGTGAGCAGCCCAGCTTCTGAGGACCCTGCCTCTGAGTCCTGATTCTGCCCCTTAGCACCTGTGTGACCTTGAACAAACACCCCTTAACTCCAAGGAGAGCACGGGCCCACAACAGCTCCCAGGCCTTGAATCTGTGATGTTATGGCTTTTTCCCAGACCAGGAGGGTGACAGTTCTCACTCCCAAGGCCCCCATCCCACCATGAGGGGAAGAAACACTGCCCTAAGCTCGAGAGCTAGGGAGCTCTAGGGAGCCCTCCAACTCCCGTGGGCACTGAGTTGTACTGAACTTGCTCACCACTGCAGACACCTACGTGTTCTTTGAACAATCGCTCTTGCGTTTTATTCTTGTTAAGGAAATAGTGCCGTGCCCATTCGCCCGAGGTCAGGCATTTGAAGGCCTTCTCCAAGTGCTCATCCTTTTTAAAGCGTTCAATCACCTCCTTCAGCTCTTCTTGCCTCCCTTTAATAGGACGAAATCTGAAAGAAAACACAAAGGCTTCAAGCGTGTGCTACACTTGAACTACCAGGGCTCATCCCTGACGACCCTGGTCACACCAATCCAATGGTGAAGCGGGTGGATGCATCACCTCAGTGGCCACTCACTGAGCGGGGAGCAATGAGGACAGGAGAGGGACTCGGACCTTCAAATGACTTTTCTCCCCTGGTGAGCTGCTTGGCTATTTCAGTATTTATTCATTTGGGTTCCTTGTCACTGCATTTCCTTTTTTTCTCTCTAAATTTCCTTTTATTTATCTCTGTGCCCACCACAGGGTGAACCATGCTCTAGGAAGCCTGGCTGACCCAGAAAGTCACCAAGCTGGGATGTGGCCTCCAGAGAAACAAAGCTCTGGGTGAAGAATCACCACCACTGGTGGTGATGGAGCCCCTGCGGGCAGAGGCTGACAGGCCTGGGGTCCACCTGAATCCACCAGGTCTTGTGAAAGGGCCAGGGCAGAGGAGAGAGCAGCCCGCCCTCTAGTGGCCAAACAGGGCAGCCCGCAGAGAGTCTGAACAGGCTGACAGCCAGTGTTGTTCTTCTGGGGATCGGGCTCTGGCACAGATGGCCTGCTACCACATGATCCCAGCCCATGCTGGGGCCGGTTTTAGGCAGGAGCCTCTCCAAAGGCAGGGAGGCTCCACCCCAGTGGCATGGCCAAGGTGGGGGGAGGTCTTTGCCTCCCCAGCTTCTGCAGCCCAAGTCAAGTGCTAACGTCTGGGTGGGGAGGAGGTGTCCTAGACTCAGAACTTAGAAGACATCAGTGCCGTGATGCCTGAAACAGCAATCGTGACAGAACTAAGACCAAAGGAAAAAAGGAAAATACAGCTGAATGGAGGAGAAGCAAAGAGGAATGAGGAGGTGCTTTTACTGCCCTTCCAAATCAACAAGAAACAGACTTTCACAGCACAGCTGGCCACTCCCTCGGGCAGGCAGTGCTCCCAGAATGGGCAGGAATGCTACTGTGGCTCCTGGGTCAACCTCTGATGAGGAAGAGAAGAGAGAGAATGTTGACCAACAAGAGAAGAGCCTCTAAACAGAGACCAATGGACTTGTAACATCCAGCGTCTTCAACGCAAACAAGGGACAGCAGAAGGCGGCCCAAAGACGTCTGGGAAAATATGGCTCCGAAGAAAGAAGAGTTAAAAACATCTGACAGATGAGTCTCCTCCACTACCCAACCAGCAAGCTACCGGACGTCCCGAAAAGGCCTCCCTTAATGCGCCCAGAAGCGGGCCCTTCAAGCCAAGCCCACAGGCTGGCTGTTCTCCATCTCGGGCAGCTCACGGAACACGCCAGGCCCGACAACGCTGGGCCAGACTAGACACCAACCTCTGGCTCTGAGATGACTCTCGCCTCAGTCACATAGGCACCAGGCACTGAGGACACAGAAAATGGTCTTTGCCCTCAGGAAGCTTCCATTCTCTCAGGGAAGACAACATTTGCAAGCAGAAATGAACCTGAGATTGTCGGAGGCAGAACCCGTGCACAAAGGTGTGGGGATGGGAGACGACTGGCGACAGGAACGCCAGTCTGGCGGCACTGAAGAGCACGAAGGGAAATCACACGGAGCCGGGCTGGGAAGGGCTTTGGGCGACAACCACGAGGGTTTGTGTTTGACCCCCGAGGGCGACATGTGGGCAGACACTGACAGGGAAGCCAGCCAGAAGGTCCCCGCGGGAAGGGAGGCATCGGGGCACGTGCCGAGCAGAGAGCAGAAGGTGGGTGCCCCGAGACGTGGGAGCCACAGGGGCAGCTGGTGGGGGTGAGGGAGACGAGCAGGAGGACAGAAATCCAGGCTGGGGCGGAAGGGGGAGACGTGATGGGCATGGCTGTCCAACAGCCGCCACCCGCATGAAGATGAGGCAGGGAGGGGCTCGGCACGGAGCCTGGGGAAGAGCAGGCCAGGGGCGGCCACGGGGGCATCCAGCCACAGAGAGGCAGAAAGTCAGGCAGGATCCAGAGGACCGAGACAAGGCCCCTGGGCTTGGCAAGGAAGAGGTCCCTAGCCTTCTCCTAATCTGCTCTGCCAAGGTGGGATGCACAGAACGGAAGACTGAAGAATTCTTTGATGTTTCTTGTTTGCTAATTTTTCTCCTCTTCTTCAGAGTCAGCTAGTGACACGATGGACAGAGCACCAGGCCTGGAGTTAGGAAGACTCAAGTTCAAATCCAGCCTCAGACACTGACTAGCTGTGTGACCTTGGGCAAGTCACCTAACCTTTGTTTGTCTCAGTCTTCTCAAGTGGGAAGTGACAATCATAAGAGCGTCTACCTCCCAGGGCTGCTGTAACGTGCTTAGCACAAAGCCTGGCACATGGAGGGGGCTTCACAAATACTTATTTCCTTCTTTCCTCCAAAAGACGGCTCTCTGGGAGCAGTTGGAAGACGCATACAGTGGGAAATGTAGGCAACGGAATACAGCAAATTTTTGAAAGAAATTGTTAGTAACGCTAGATGAAGAGATCACAGCCGTGCCACAAGGTTCAAAGCTGTACCTCACGGGGTGAGAAGAGACTAAGAGGAGAAGAAGCGAGGGCAGGCAGCTTTCTCTAGCGGTCTGGCTGCCGAGGCACCTCCCTGGGCACACCTGCAGCCAGCAGAGAAGGAATGGGCCAGAGGTACAGGAGGGATGAGACTGCTGAGGCGAAAGGGCGAACACCTCCTTAAAATGGGGCCGAGGGGCAGCCTGAGTGAGAACGGGCTGAGGGGTGGCTGGAGAGAGAAGAACGGGCCGAGGGGTGGCCTGAGGGGCGGCCTGAGTGAGAACGGGCTGAGGGGTGGCTGGAGAGAGAAAAACGGGCCGAGGGGTGGCTGGAGAGAGAAGAACGGGCCGGGGGGTGGCTGGAGAGAGAAGAACGGGCCGAGGGGTGGCTGGAGAGAGAAGAACGGGCTGAGGGGTGGCCTGAGGGAGAACGGGCCGAGGGGTGGCCTGAGGGAGAACGGGCCAAGGGGTGGCCTGAGGGAGAACGGGCCGAGGGGTGGCCTGAGGGAGAACGGGCCGAGGGGTGGCTGGAGAGAGAAGAACGGGCTGAGGGGTGGCTGGAGAGAGAAGAACGGGCCGAGGGGTGGCCTGAGGGAGAACGGGCCGAGGGGTGGCTGGAGAGAGAAAAACGGGCTGAGGGGTGGCTGGAGAGAGAAGAACAGGCTGAGGGGTGGCTGGAGAAAGAACGGGCCGAGGGGTTGCTGGAGAGAGAAGAATGGGCTGAGGGGTGGCCTGAGGGAGAACGGGCCAAGGGGCGGCCTGAGTGAGAACGGGCCAAGGGGTGGCTGGAGAGAGAAGAACGGGCCGAGGGGTGGCTGAGAGAGAAGAACGGGCCGAGGGGTGGCCTGAGGGAGAACGGGCCGAGGGGTGGCCTGAGAGGAGAACGGGCCGAGGGGTGGCTGGAGAGAGAAGAACGGGCCGAGGGGTGGCTGGAGAGAGAAGAACGGGCCGAGGGGTGGCTGGAGAGAGAAGAACGGGCCGAGGGGTGGCTGGAGAGAGAAGAACGGGCCGAGGGGTGGCTGAGGAGAGAACGGGCCGAGGGGTGGCTGGAGAGAGAAAACGGGCCGAGGGGTGGCTGGAGAGAGAAAAACGGGCTGAGGGGTGGCTAGAGAGAGAAGAACGGGCTGAGGGGTGGCTGGAGAGAGAAGAATGGGCTGAGGGGTGGCCTGAGGGAGAACGGGCCGAGGGGTGGCTGGAGAGAGAAGAATGGGCTGAGGGGTGGCCTGAGGGAGAACGGGCCGAGGGGTGGCTGGAGAGAGAATGGGCTGAGGGGTGGCCTGAGGGAGAACGGGCCGAGGGGCGGCCTGAGTGAGAACGGGACAAGGGGTGGCTGGAGAGAGAACAACAGGCCAAGGGGTGGCCTGAGTGAGAACGGGATGAGGGGTGGCTGGAGAGACAAGAATGGGCCGAGGGGTGGCCTGAGTGAGAAAGGGCCGAGGGATGGTCTGAATGAGAAGCAGCCAAGGGATGGCCCAAGTGAGGAGAACGGCACAGCACATGTTTTCCCCGAGAAGAGAATCGAGAGCCACGAGGCTCTTGTGGTCAAACACAAGCAACAACCAGATGGCGCACACGCGAACGGTGCTGGGCGCGGGGGTCATTCCAGAACCAGAGGCTGGTGTGCATGTGATGCCGCCTCCCACTGTCCCGTTACAGCCCCCCCTGGGGGCTGAGCGAGGAGATGGCCCAAGGGAATGCCCTCTTGAGGCTGAGGGGACACACTGCAGGGGGCTCCCAGAGAGTGTAAGTAAGCTCTTTAAGGACCGGGCTGGTTTCCTTTTGTCTCTGTGCAGTATCTGGTACACAGCAGGGAGTTAATAAATTTCTGCTTGACTGACTACCTGAAAAATGGGATGAAACCAATGGTTTGGAAAAAATTCCAGACCTTATTTCAACCCCCAAAAGATGACCATGAAAATAATGTGAATTCCTAAACCAAACATCTCCTTTCTCATCTCTACAATCTACACGTGTTTAAAAAAAAAAGCATCTCTGAATAAGGTTTGGGAAAGAAACAGGCAGGCTCCCACTAAAGGTGCCACAGCAGACCTCATCAGTGGTCAGCAGCTGGTGGTAGAGTGGACAGAACTCCAGGCCTGCAGTCAGGAAGACCAGAATTCAAATCCTGCCTCAGACACCCTGTTTGCCTCAGTTTCCTCATTTGTAAAATGGGGATAATAATAGTGCCTCCCTCCCCGGATGGTTGTGAGGACCAAATAAGATTATGATCCTAAAGCACTTAGCACAGTGCCTGGCACACAGCAGGTACCATATAAATGTGAGCTGTTATTATTTGTCACTCAAGTGCCCAAAAGTGTTGGAAACAGTACTTGCCCGATGTTTTTGTGCAACAAAAATTAATAAAAAGTCCTTGAGGGTGTACTGTGGATGCGTGCATTTACTTATAAATTTGTATAGTAATTATGGATGTTATAAAACACAAAACAAATTTAAAACGGAGGATAAAAACAAAACCAGCAGAACGGATGGAAGAGGG